TTCGCAGTACAGTGGCTGAGCCAATGAGCTGTGACGCAGATGGTATGTGACACTCTCTTCACTTCCCCCTGCTGCTCCTGCATTACAAATCACAGGCAGTTATAATTCAATTGCATTTCAAGTACCGCACTGCGATGTTGTGATATAATAATATATCTGTGGTCTCTATCCCTGGGCGGTGGGGTGATAGCAGTGTCTCTTGTTATTCATAATAAGCCCCTTTCAAGCAGACCTGAGTTTATGCTCATGAGGTGATTCTAGATGGTCCCCTAGATAGCCTCAGGCTGGGAACCGGTTGCCAGGAGACCCAAGCATGTGATTAGAGGGTTGGAACTTCTGAGCTGTACTTCCTAACCTGCAGGGATGGGAGAGTGGCTGAGGACTGAGCTGTCACCATCAGCCAGTGATTTAGTCTATCATGCCTACATAATGGAACTTCCACAAAATCCTTACACTATAAGATTCAGAGAGTTTCTTGGTTAGTGAATGTACCCATGTGCTGGGAGGGTGGCCCACCCCAATTCCATGGGGACAGAAGCTCCTGTGCTTAGGATGCTTCCGGACCTCAACCTGTGTGCCTCTTCACCTGGCTATTCATTTGTATCCTTTATAATTAACTTCATATAAATCAATAACAGTAAGTAAAGTGTTTCCTGGCATTCTGGGAGCTATTGTAACAAATTATCAAACCTGAGGAGGGGGTCTTGAGAACCTCCAATTTGTAGTCAAGTTGGATAGAAGGTGACCTGGGAACCCACTACTTGTGATGACGTCTGAAGGAGAAGGGCAGCGTTGTGGGCTGAGCCCTTAACTGTGGGGTCTATGCTATCTCCACGTGCTGAGTGTCAGAACTGAACTGACTTGCAGGACACCGGTTGGTGCCCACAGAGAATTAGAGAATTGCTTAGCATAGAAAATCCACATATCTGGTGTTATAAGTGTCATGAGTAGAGAGTTTACCTTTATAGAGGCATGCCACATTTTTATTTAGTTTTATTACTAATGCATATCCCTCATGTCAGAGTAAAAAGAGAAAAAATGAACTTTGGGTGTTACACTATTAGTATAGAGTGTGGATTATTTTGTTATCAAATCAGATGACAAAGCATTATATTATTATGCAATGAAATATTATTATGCTAAAAGAATACAGTACGTGTTGACATTTCCAGACTGAGTAGTCATCACACTATTTCCAACTCACAGAAAAAAGCATGGACAGGAAAATTAGCAATTTTTAAATGGAGTATCTCATTACAACAGAATTTCTTCAGAATTTCTGCACCTCCAGGCAGAGGGCTGCACTATGCTGGGAAAGGGTGACCTCCCGGCATTGCACAGAGGTCCTGGCGGGGCCCCTCTGACTGTTCTGTGACCAGGCACTGCGACATGCCCGCAGCCACCTCTTCTAAGGCGGTGTTTCCCTCTCATCACACTGGCCCTCTGTCCGGTGGGCGGGCACACTGCACGCGGACATTTATTCTCCTTGATGTGTGCTTGGGTTCTCAGCTTGTTTGAAGACTCTTCACATATGTACAAGGTTAATTCCACTTCAGGAAGATGAGGAAGAGTCAGGCTCAGAAAAGAAAAGATGCCTGACATACCATTTGGGGCTTTCTTCTTACCTACAGGTAAAGCAGTGCTAAACCACCATTGCTGGCGGTGGAAGGTGGGGAGAAGGGTGGCACACAACACACATACTGATGGCTGACCCATATTGGCTATCCTGCCCCTTTCTTTGGGAAATAAACAGCCAGGACAGGGTTTGTGTGCTGGGAAAGCATGAGAAGAGAGGCTAGCAGCCCCCAGAAATAAAAGGGTGGTAAAGATCGGTAGCTGGAAACGTGGCCAGAAGAGAGTGAGGTCACTTTGCGACCCTGTGGAGCATGTTGCTCCTCCGTGTTCATGTCCCCATGGGGCAAGGTCTGGGGCCGAGGGTGTTCTCACTCCTGCAGGTCACCCACTCCTGTCTTGTCTTCCTTCTTCCCCTTTCTCTGGTTGGTAGAGGGTGAAGGAACAAATATATCCCTAACCTAATAATTTGAAATATTGGGGTATGACCAGGAAATGACACTCTCAGATTCTCTTCCAATTCAGTGAGAAGGAAACAAATTTAAGGGGCATTTTGGTATTTGTTTTTGTGGTTTTTTTATGTGCTTATAAGCTAAAGTAGCATAACCAAGCCTTAGAAAATTGAACATCTCATACAAGACACCTAGAGCAAAACCATAGGTCAAGAAAGCAGTGTTTCCCTTTGTGTTTCTGAACACAAAGATCTGACAACAAGAAGGTCAGGTTACATTTCCTAATCTGTTGGAGGTCATTCTCCCACCATGACAAATGGGATAAGGGGAAATCTTACCCCAGGACCACATCAGGGGACGAGGGGATTTCAGGGAGGAGGGCAAAGATCCTGCCACTTACTGCAGGCCTAGCAGGCCTAGCAGGCCTTGAGGGTAAAGCAGTAGAGAAAAAGGCGAAGAGCAGGGACTACACAGAATGCAAGGCCACAAGTTTCCTTGAAGATGGTAAGGGACTTGAGGTTTGAGGAAGTGAAAGCAGGGACACCAAATAGAGCCTACACTCAACTCAGCCTAGGGATTAAAGGATGTGGGGACCCAAGTCATGTGGCAGTTCAGGGGCCAGAACTTTGGGGGATCGCCATTGAGTAGGAGGAGAAAGAAGCACTTCAGTACTGCTGGGACTCTAAGTGCACATTTCCAGCTTTTGCAAGAATTCATGAATATGACTGTCTGGATAGGTCACTGTGGATACAGTTTTTAGGTTTGTTTTTTCCCCAGGGATATGAGACATGCAGAACCTCACAGCCCTTCAGAGGGATGCTTCTCTTGGCTAAGACAAAGCCACACAGTTGGTTCCTTCTGATGACCAGAAAGCTCTGGCTGTCGTCTTGCCAAAGCTGAAGCTAAAGAAATGTGCTTTTTCTTCTTTTCCTCCATCTCTACCCAAGAGTCTCCATATCCTCTACTTTCTGGGGTGAGACTGTCCTGTAAAATTCAAGTACTATCCCCCAGCCTATCTCCTGCATTGCACAAGGCTCTAGGTCTTCCTCAAAAGCCCCTCAGATTCCCGGGGGCCTCACTCTCTTCCAGCCACCTTTCACCACCACATCCCAGCTACTGATCTTCACCCCCTCAACTACTGATTTTTACCAGCCTTTTATTCCTGGGAGCTGCTAGCCTCTCTCCTCATGCTTTCCTAGCACACAAACCCTGTCCTGGCTGTTTATTTCCCAGAGAAAGGGGCAAGATAGCCAATACGGGTTAGTCATCGATGTTTTAGGCATCAGTGATAAAGCCATTATGGGTAGGAATTGTCCCATGACTACATTTTTCATTGGAACCTGAGTTGCTGTATTCTTGGGGCCCACTCACCCTCTCCATCCTCTCCAACAGCGAAGTGTTTTGCCGTCTTCACAGCTCTCCCCACCTATAGCCAACCATAAGTTCCCCTTTTCATTTAATAGAGCAGATAAGCTCTATTTCTTTGGCTCCAACCTCTCACCATTAGGGTAAAAGGCCTACTTTTCTCAACAGACCTGGCCTCACAAGATACTGACCTAACAAGCAGACTTTAAGAAGGACTTTCCAGCCACCCTAAAAGTCAGACACAAGTTCACCCATTTTTTTCATTCTTGCTTGGATACTAGTAAAGACCTGCTTTGGTACTGCCTCAGACCCAGAAATGAGAGAGAAACAGAGTGCCTGATGCCCAATACTCAGCACCCCTTCCTATGGGGCCTCTCGCCGTGGGGTACACATGCCTGCCTCCCTGATGTCATGGCCTCTGACTTGCTTTGGGCGATGAAGTGATGGAAATGGTATGACCTCCCCCAAGCAGAAGCTCTAGGTGTTGTGTGGTGCTTCCATCTCTTCTTCCCCACCCCCCCATCTCAAGGCCAATGTGCCCCAGATGGGGCTGCTGGCTCAGCCTGGGGCTCAAAATAGATAAGCAGCAGAGCCATTTATGACCCAAGACAGATGTGGGTCTGAAATAGACACAGATCTTTGTAGTGTAAGCTGCTACGATTTTGATGTGACTTAGCATGACCTAATGCATGCAGTGAAGTTAGATTTTGAAATTTAATTTCAGCCACAAAAGGGGATTTCACTGGTGGGCTTTTAATGTTGCCTTAGGATCTTTTTTATACAAGTAGGTCCCGATAGTTCAAATATTATGTTTTATGGTGCTGGCATTATAGCTAATAGGGCTACACAATCAAACATTGCTCACTGAATAACCTTCCTGGGCTAGTGAGGATGGACTATGTATCTGGGCCATCATTCAAAGCAGCGAAAATGTGAGTTTTCATCCTCAGATTCTGAGACCCTAAATAATGTCCTTTCCTGGCAGATTCCAGAGGCCCCCGCGTGCAGCAGCAGAGCTGCCTACCCCTGGTTGCTGGAGTGCAGGCAGTCCCCTTAGACCACACTTTGAAGAGCTTGGCTGAGAAAAGTGGGGAAAAAGCTAGTGACTAGAGGCTAACCTGAGGTTAAGGGTCAATAAGGCCAAGGGAGAGAAGTCTTTCACCTTTTCCTGATGCCTGTATTTGTACATTCACTATAACTGATGTAATTTATTTAAAATACCACTCATAAATCTTGATATCTAGTTCTTCCACAGATCTTTGATTCCTATTGTCTGTTACCTCCCCCACACTAGCAACATCCACATACGCACACACACACATGCATGTGTGCATGCACACACACGTACACACAGATGCACACACGTACACACATGGACACACGTGTATAACACACACTGAGACACTGTGTCAATGACCAACCAGATGCCCTTGGGGAAACAGCTGCTTGGCCTGTCCTTAGATTCCAGACCATCAGATGTCACACCCAAAACTACAGGAAAGAGCAAGAGTTTGACCTGGAAAAGGGTAGGAAAGGTCCAGCTGTGAAGATAATTGGTCAGACACATACTTCAGGAGGAAATTTTGGAAAGGATGAACCACACACCCTAAGGAATGAAAATCAACAGCATTTCTAGTTTTATTTCTTGCTAAGATGACAGCAGGAAGTGTGGAGACAGGAGACTGACAAAGCACTTCTGCTCAGGAAAGGGAAGCCCCAGCTCTCCTGGGGATGGGGCTGGGAGCGGGGAGCAGCTGAGGCTCCCCCCGGGAGGCTGGGCCAGCTTCTGGGCTTCTCGGGCTTCACCTCTGCAGGAAGGCACAGGCTTCCAGAAGCGCTGGGGGACACAACAAAGCAGGACATTCAGAAACTGGTTTCCTTTTTAACCAGGAGGTCAATCAAGGGGGATAATAAATGGAGCCTTTCCCCTGTCCTTCTCTCCCCACGTCAGTGCTTGCCACACTCAGTCTCCTGGGCCCTCCTCCTACCAGCTACAGGGGCCAGGGGAGCACAAAGCAGCTCTGGCCCTCACCAGCCTGCGTGTTCCCTGCCCTGGCCTGAGTGACACAGCCCCCGGTGTACATACACATGTACTTATGTGTGTGTGTGTGTTTGTAGGTGTGTAAACATATACCTACAGGTATACATGCATACATTCTCATACATACTTATATAAACACACAATTCATTTTACTGAATAAAATGAATTATCAGTTTCTAAAAATGCCATGACTGTCTCGATCACTGTTATAAAAATTTAGCATATTGTCTACTACTTCATTTTTTCTCTAATTCTTTCATCTCATCCAGAAAACTGAGATCTCCTGAAGAATAGAGATATTATATTGCCTTAATACTTTTATAGCCATCTTCATTCCTAGAATGCTGTATGTCCCTCCAACCTTGACCTTCACCCATGGTGGTTTCTCATCAACGCCTTCTATGTTCCACTTACGGGAGGTTGAGCATTTTTTCAGGTTAGCAATGGCTGAGACATAGGCTGATCCCAAATATTTTTCATATGTTGTTTTGCCATGGAGTCTGGCCAGACACTCAGTGTTGTCATTGAACAGAAGGTTTTTGGTTTCAGACTGGAACAAGCAAAATTTGCTCGGGCACTTGGATCCATTTCTTCCAAACTGAGCCTGTGCAAAAGAGCAGACAGTAGTGAGTAGCTAAGGGAAATCGGAGAGTTTATGGATTAAGGGAGGCCACGGACATTGCTTCCACTCAGAAACATGGGACCCCATCCCCTCTCGGACAGAGAACCCCAGAGAGAACCATGGGACAAACGGTGCTGAGCTCTGGGGTCATCCCACTGCCTTGGCTGTGTCTTCTCCTGCCCCATGTCCTCCCGCTGCCCACCCCTGAGACAGCAGACCCGCCTTGGCTAATGCCCAGGCCTGGTCTCACCTCCCACCGCCTGTCCTTTCTTCATATGGTCACCAGGTGACAGCTGAGGATTCCTGCATTTCCTTCCAAAAATTTATCACCTATAATAGCCTGACAGGCCAGCCCTCCAACAGAGGCAGTCTGCATTGGAAATCATCTCTGCCACTGAGCAGATCATTGCCTCCATCATCTCCTTAGCCTCCCCTGGCCACAGATCCTCCTTGATGTTCGAGAGGTGAGAACAAACACCTCAGTGGTGGCAGACCTGTCACCAGCACCGGAGGGCGTGCCACAGTGAGGGCTTCACAAATGCCAGGCGTCAAGTCCATTATTAGGTGTCTTTAAAGGACACCTGGACACTTGACGTTTTAATACAAAACTAGATGCTATCACAGAAAATCACAGACTTTAAGGAAATGATAGGATTTCCCTCAAATCACTCCACATAAATGTCTTAACTCTTGAACGTCTGAATTTGTTCTTTTTAGAGATTGTAAATGCAGGGCCCTGGTCTATGGGCAACATCACCAGAGTTAACCATTGTCTACTGGGGTGTTGTGGACCAAGGCCCAATCGTCTCCCTCATTTGCCTAAAGAATACAAGGAGTGGCGAGGAGAGTAACTGTCTCTGGGCCAGGCAGTGAGCATAAGTTCAGGACATGAGCCTCAGGGAGAAGTTTGGTCAGTCCCAGAAAGCCTAGTGTCAGAAGCCTCTTCGGCCTCACTGAGACTGAGAAGACCCACAGTGTGAAGCAAATACTGTCACCACCAGCCTCAAGAAGAGGGATTCGAAAGAAAGGCTTGAGATGGGCCGATTCACCAAGCTCTGTGGCTGCCCCCAACCCTGCAAAAGGCCCACGTGGGTAAGGCAGGAGGCCCTGCTGCCCGTACCTGCTGGTCAAACAGCACCTCTTCCAGGTATTTTGTCTTGTCTTGCCGAGTGACCACACCGTGGTTTGGGGCCTTGGCCAGGTGGCAGCTCTCAGCCTCGGCCACAGGCTTCCTGGTGCCATCGAGGCACAGCAGCTCAAATTCGTCCAGCTTCAAATCCTTCGCCCACACTTCAGGGTTCTTCCCTGGGGAGAGAGAAACTGGGTCAGCTGTGGCTGCTTGGCTTGGTCAAAGGGTTCTTCCTAGGTGGCTGGGACTCTTGAGATGCATACACTGGGCTTGCACTGAGGTGAAAGAGAGAGAAGGAAGCTTCATCCTGCACAGGTTGCACGAACTTCAAACATCACACCTTAGTACCGCATCCAAGCAATGGAATAGAATCCAGGAATAAAAAGGGTGAAGTACTGATACATTCTACAACCTGGATGAACCTGAAAAACATGATGCTAAGTAAAAGAAGTCAGTCACAGAAGGCCACATAATACATGGTTCCATGTATTACATGAAATGTCCAGGATAGGCAAACCTCTAGAGACAGAACGTGGACTGATGGTGGCCAGCTCTGGAGGAGGGTGACAAGGTACAGTGTTTCTTTATGGGGTTATGTGTGGTGCTCTAGAACTGGACTGCTGTGCTGGTTGCCCAACACTCTCTGTGACTGTGTGGAGACCCCTTAATTGTGCACATTGAATGGATAGATTTTATAACATGAGTTATATCTCAGTGATGCTGTTAGGTATTTTTTAAATTTTGTAAAAGGAACACCCCCCATACCTGTGCCATGTTTTCCAGTGAGTTTCAAAAAAAAAAATAGCTGGTTTATGTTCAAGAAGAAACTGTTCTCTCCTTTCTTCTAATGTTGTTTGTATAACCAGAAAAAGGATAGGAACTTCTATAAGTTTACCAAATATATGTAGTCAATTCCAATAAAATACAGTTGTAAAATCCCAGAGAAGCTTAAAATTCAATTTGACATCAATCTGATCCCTGCAGATCAACTATATTAATGGTTCATAAATTTGCAATATAACCATATGCATGTCTGTGTGTAAGTAGAGGCTCATTAGTCAGGCCTCTGCTTCTCTCCTGCCCTCTCTTCTGAAAAGAACACTTCATCCATTCTCTTGGTTTTGTCTATTTGATATTGAGATCATTCCGAATTTACATGTTTGGCCTCAGCCACTCTCTCAAGAGACATGAGGAGGTCAGCAGGAACAGAGTAGGAGCAGCTATGGCTGTTGGTATCTTTGAAGGAGGGAAGCCCAAAGCTGAGGCTGTACATTCTCGGGGGACAAACTGCCAAGGCATCTGCTGAAGAGAGGGTGTGGGGAGGCTGAGTGGGGACTAAGGAGAGGGTGCAATCCGGAAGGTAACAAATGCCTAGGAATGTTGAATTGGTATTCTCACCTACAGATCAAAAGAGAGTGATTATTCACACAGTGACTGGTACATTATGAAGGTGGTAGACGTAGACGGACACTGAAACAGGGGTAATCAAAGGGAGGAGTTTCCAGAATGAGGGCTCACATGGGGCTGAATGAAGACTCCGATTTCCTTTCTTAAGGGAAATTTTATTTGCAAATGTTCAATTTTTAAGTATCATCCACATTCAGTTTCCCATAGGCTGGTACAGGCAGGTATGCTTCTGTGGCTGACCAGACAAAGCCAGGGCAATATTTGTTACTTAGTATAGCTGGTGTATGTGCGTGTGTGTATGTGTGTGTGTGTGTGTGTGTGCACTTGTGAACGAGAAAGAGAGGGAGGGAGAGAAAGAGAGGTCTCAGTTTCAGGATCAATGTCACTTCAATAGACATACCATGTTGGAAACTGAGATAAAGAATTTCTGGAATTAACCTGATCCAAATTCTGAAGAAGGTTTAATAGATTCCCAGTTACAAATCTGCAACACTAGGCTGTGTTGTGATGCCTAAGACACTGTCCAAGGCAGAAAGGGAAACATTTCCACCTACCATCAGTGTTCTCCAAGACAGTGACATCCTTCACGAATGCAACGTCTCCAGCCCTCTCGGCCAGGCACCTAAAATGTTCCAGAAAATAAACACATTGCCAGAGAAGATAAACTATTAGAGTTTCATAAATATTTGTAATATACATTCCAAAAACTGATACATGAAAGTAAGCATAGAAAAGATAAAGGTAAATATTTCCAGGAACTTATGGCTTAAAATGGTAGACTGATCAAACATATAGACCTCCCCTCCTCCTAAAATCCCATTGGATATTTGAAGAAATACCGGAAAAGATGGAGATGAAAGCAATTATACTCTGAGGATACAGAGACAATATAGGAGAGAGAGTAAAACTTTTTTCAGAAACTGAAAATATCATTAAAAAGATGAAAGAAAGAGCAGTGTTCATGAAACAAGAACAAGAAGCTCTAAAAAGAAATAGTCAAACTACAAAAAGAATCCTTCGAAAGTAAAAAGTTAACAGCATAAAAAATCCTTTAAAGTGATATAATGATTAGAAGACAAAACTGAGCAAATATGTCAGAAACTAGAAGATAAAGAAGAACAAATCAAGAAAAAGAAATAACTAAATGAGATGATAATCCAGGATAGTGTAATAATTTAAGAAATAAAGTTTAAAGATAAATCAGAGAAAATGGGATGGAAATTATCAAAAAAAATAATGAAAATAAAATTTCCCAGAACTGAATAACTTGAATCAACAGATGAAAAGGAAAATGCCCCATCCAGTGAATTAAAATAATTTTTTTTAAAACTCCAAAACTTTTCAAGAAACCAGCTCTCAAAGCATTTACACTGGATGACATCCCAAACTGGAGGGTTAAAAAGAAGCTGAAGTCGGGGGTTGTAGGTACAAGAGACACAGAAATGTCTGAGAAGCTGGATCTTCTTCCATAGTGGAATGTCAGCAAGAAATAGTTCATAGTCAAAAAATACGAACCAGCCATCTAAGAGTATGAGTTAGAATTAGAGAAGTAAATAGGACTTCTGGTTCCAGCTTTCAATTTGAACAAAAGCCAAAGCATTTCCTTGCAGTGTAAGTAGGCACACTGAAGTGCAGGGGCGTCCATGAACCAATACCTTACCTTGGACTTGAAGAAGAAAACTATGTGATTCCTTTGGGTTTGTTATCAGCCATGTGTCTATTCACTATTTCTGAGCAGACTCACAGCCTAACTTTTCCATTTGCAAGTCCTTAAACATATTTTTGTACATTCACAAATACTTATGGGTCGCTCAAAGTACAGTAGAAGCTACATTCCTATCATTCTTTCACTCGAGAGAAGGCTACTGAATTTATATTAAAAAATTCAAAGACCTCAGTTTAGCCACTGTCCTCCTCAGATACATGACGCCATCTCCTGGTCAAATATATTCTTGGAGAACTGAGTAAAGGGGGAGGAGAGGTCTCTGCCTTTCACACTGAAAAGCAACATCCAGATGTATAGGGTTGTGAAATGTGGACCGCGGATCATTGCTATCAGTTACTCAGTGATTATAATTCATGAATTCTGAAAACTTATTTTTTGATTTATTGTTTATTTTACTAGTGAAGAACAACTGCAATACTGTTCTCTTTGCCTTTTCTAAGGCCAAAATCAAAGAGAAAAGTGAAACATAAGACATAATGCTGACCTGCATTGAAGGAGAGGGCGCTGGCTATGGGAAAGGGAATTCTTCCCCACAAAACTGTACAAAGGACTTAAGATACCACATACTCTGCTCATTCGGTTTTGGGAATAAAGCCATCAAGACCCACTGAGGTTGACTTTGGCCCCAGGCCATGGCTGGAGCCCAGCAGAGCTGAGGTCACACAGCCCTGGCACCAGCCTGCGCTCCCTGGGTGGAGGTAGGTGGGGGGGCCTTCACCAGTGCTGCCCGTCAGCAGTCCCCAGGCTGAGCCCCACTCTGCTGTGACAGGTCCTGTTGGCCCCTGAGAAGCACAGCGCCAGGAAGCTGGAGGCCGGGGGACACTCACCTGAAAGCCCCAGTGTAGCCGAAGTACCTCTCATTGCTGTTGGGCGCGCACTTGTCCTCGCCTGCCTCGTTGCCAATACACAGTGCGCAGAGACTGGACTTAGGGTCAGACCCAGGGGCACAGCTTTGCTTAAAGTATTCATCTGTAGAGAAGGCACGTGGGGGTCAGCTCTTTCGACCCAGATCAAGATAAGCAGTCTAATAGGTGTGGGACTTGCTTTCCATCCAGTATATTGCCCATGACAGAACTTAGTCACCAGCATGAGCAGTAACGTGTTAGCACCAGCACAGGACCCACCAAAATCAGAAACATGTCAGACTGTGGGCATTGATGGGAAATATAAGTGGGGCTGGAGATGAGGGTCTGGCCGGACAAGGAGGCCCACCACCGTGGCCTCAAGCTGGGGCTCTTCCGATAAACGTGGTGGCCGTGTGCCACACAACCTTTCACACTGTTGGTTGCCTACCCCAGGATCTGATTTCCCCTGCTCCTTGGCAACAGACTCTGCTTTTTACCTGGGCACCTGGTCCCTTAGAATAAAGACTAGCCTTCTTTGATGCCCTGTGGCTAATACAGCCATGTGGCCAGGGGCTCACCAGTGAAATATGAGCGAGAGTTTAGGGTGCCAGCATCTTAGAAATATCCTTAAAAGAGAGTGGGCACATGCCTTTTGCCTCTCCCTCTCCCTCCCTTCCTTCATTCTGCATATGGAATGCAGGGCAGGGACTGGGCCTCCAGTTGTGACAGGGGCCATTAAGTGACCTTGAAAATGGACACATATATCAGAGTGGCCAGATGTTTGAAGCTCGAGTTTCTGACACCCTGTGCTCATCATACTAGAAAATCAACCTTGGATTTCACTCACATGAAAGAAAAATAAACTTCTGCCTGTTTAAGCTTCTATTATTTGGGGTTTTCTTTTCTTGCAGCTGAACCTAATCTGAATTAACCTACCACGTGACAATGCACTTAAGGAGTTAAAGTGGATTATTATGGGTTAAGGAGAGCGTAAACAAAGAAAGTCCTGACTCAAGGAGCAAGTAGTGCCTGTTATCAGACTCATGCAGCCCTGCCACACCATATGCCAACCTTGAGAAGTGCTGGGGAGCAGCTTCCCCGCGCCACAGAGGCCGCTGTGGGGATGGAAAGAGGGACGCCAGCTCCCACTGCTGGTAAGGAGCAGAGCCACACAACAGCCGGCCGGAGCCAGGATGCAAACGCATTCAAAATGTTGCAGGCCCCGCCCGAGGGGCCACCTGCACCAGAGGTGAGCCAGGGTGAGAACATGCCACACATTGCCATGTCACCAGGCCCACAGCAGGGAGGGCATGTCTTATGCATGGAATGTGAGCGTGGGGTGTGGCAGGGACAGACGGCCCCAGCAGCAGACTGAATAAGACCCTGAGGTCTTATTTGGCTTCCTTTGCAGTGTGGAGTAAGAAGTCAGTTCTGTTTAGTGACAGAAGTCACCTTTTATGAGGCAGGCAGGTGCCTTTTCCCAAATTAGGAAGCCAGAACCTGTGAGGAATGGAGAGCTAGAGCTCCAAGAATCTTTAAAAAATAACATTTGTCCTTTTCAGAAACTGTATCCATTATTAGGGCTCACAGAAACAGGCTGCCACTCCGGGGTCTCGCCGTGGCGTGGGCGGATGGGGCAGGGGAGGTGTGCAGAGAACCCCTCAGAGCATCCATGACTGCAGGGGTGGCCACAGGAACAGTGTGCCGATACCAAGAGAGGCCTGTGGGTCAGTCAGCCTACAAATCCCCGCCCTCCCTTCCCTAAGGCCCCACAGCCCCATGCACCTGCAGGACAGCCCACCCCGGACTCCCTCCAGATACCTTACCAAATTTGCAGGAGCCTGTCTGGTTGAAGAGCAGACCCATGGGGATGTTCCAGCCTGCAGTCCTGCCCAGGGCAGTGTGGCAGGACTTCCTGCCTCTCAGAGAATTCCAGGTGATGTCGGCATCTGACTTCCTGACAACTGCCACAGCAAGATAGCCTTGGATGATAGGAGAGCAAGTCTGAACCTCCAGGGGCCTGGCATATCGACTGTAAGGCAGTCCTCTGCAACCCAGGCCGTCACCAGTCAGGAAGCATCATCAGGCAGTGATCCCCTCAGACAACTGGACATTATCAGGCAGACCCAAAAAGCATAAGTTGCTGCTCTGTGTTAAAGGCAAGATTGTGTCTGGTCTATGAAGTGAAATAGTAAGAAGAGCTGATCCTTTAAGTTATTTCTGGACACTGTCCTTGACCAGCCACACACTGTCCCTGAGTTATATACCAGCCACTCACTTTCAGAAATGGGGTACTACAGCAGTGAACGCTGAACAACAAGCATGAGCCCAACAGGACACAAATCATCAAGTGCGATATGCAATATGCATCGGGCCAGAGCAGTGACAGCCACCAGACTAAGTGCTGTGCGGACGTAGGGGTGTGTCTCCGAGAACCCCTGTGCTGAGTTCAAACCAGCCCTTCACTGTGAGGGGGTCAGTGTGGAGGCCATCCTCTTCCTGATAGCGTATACCAGACAGACTTCTGGGGTGAGCAAGTGCAGAGCTCTTCTGAAGCTGAGGAAGCATCAGCTCTGGCAGACAAGGTGGAGGTGGTGCACAGAGCATGGGATCTAGCATAAGAGACCAGGACCTGCCACAGTATCATCCACGGATGGGAGTGCGATCCAGGGCACTTCACGAGACTCTCTGGGCCACTGTCTCTTCACCCATATGAATAGCAATTTAACACCCCTCCTTCCACATGGCCCAGAAAATGATGAGTAACTCTGAAAGCTCTCTGCCAGGTGTGAGTATATAAACATTAATTATAATTACACATCTATGAATTATTTGCATCTTCAAAAGAACTTACGGCTTCTATGGCTGCATTTTCTTTCTGTGAATTTTTTTTAAAGTTCGCACACCTCCCCCTCCTCAGTAACAAGAACTTACCCTTGACCCTGAAAGTGACAGATTCCAACTCACCTTCCATTGGTCTATCCACACAAGCTGAATCGTCGCCTTTTTGGGATTCTGAAGGATTAGAGACAAGCAAAATGTTATTAAACACTCAGATTTACTGACAAATCATCAACTTTTATATCTCAACAATGCAGAATCAAATCCAAAGAGATGTCCCAGCAGTTCCGTGAAGCAGAAATACATACACAGGTCCACCAAAAGGCATGGACATAGATGTTCATAAGCAACTCTACTCACAATAGCCACCAACTGGAAATTACCCAAATGTCCATCCACAGTAGCATGGATAAATGGTTGTGGTAGAGCCACACAATGGAACACTATACAGATTGACCATCCTACAACCGCTCATTTATATGGATGACAAGCACAAATTTAAGCCGAACAAGAAACATGAAAAAGCACATGCTGTGCAACTCCTTTTATATTAAGTTCAAAAATAGGCAGCACTGCTCTGGGCCATCTGAAGCCAGGAGTCACTGCCCCGCTGACAGGAGGACACAGGGGATGTGAAACTTGCTGTCTTGATCTGGAGACCTATGCACAGAGATGTACCAGTTTGTGATGTGTGATGGAGCTGTACACTTAGTTGTACTTTTCTGTGTGTATATTATACATTACTGAACTATTTTAAAATTAAGAAGAGGAAACCAATCTGTGCACTGTCAGTTCTCAACACAACCAGTAGTGTGGCTAACAGCCCTTTCATTTATTCTTTCCCCTGGTTGTCCTGGTGTGTGTTTGTTTGTGCTGTTTGAATGCATCTGTCCATATTAAAGTCTCCACCTGGATCTACCCAGTGGGGTTACTCCTCCTTATGCCCTCCCTCATGGGCAAGAGGAAATAAACCTCACTTACTTTGGTTCTCTGCCAGGACAGGCAACAAACCACATTTGCCCGCAACATAGATTAATCCTCCGTCCAAGCTCATGGCATCAGCTTCTCCTTTCTGCAAAAGCAAAGCAAGTAGCTAGCACCACTGTGAGGCTGTTTCCTGTCCCGCCCGCCTGTACAGCTGCCTGAGAGAATGGTTTTATGTCTGGTGTCCCATTGAAGCAGCAGCAGGAGACAGGGGTTGTTTGAACTGAGCACCCTAAGGACACAGCAAGAGTGCCATTAATTCCCTACCAGCTCCCCCTGCTTTCCATGCTGTCGTTTCGTTTGGAGAGACCAGGCGCAGGCTGCACTAACCCTCTGTGCTTTGAACAAAATCCCTTCTCTACTGCAAGCACTCTGGGGATGCCTTCCCCGCCACCCCCCCACCAGTCTCCCTCACTTAAGAGACAGGTGAGCTGGCCTCACCTGGTCTCAGCTCATTAGCCCTACACTCAGTGCCACACAAAAGTGGTTCAACAAATGAACGGAAATAACAGAATTGGCTCACCATCAGAATGAATGGGCCCACATTTCATCCTTGGAACACTGGTCCATCAAGATTGGAAATTTCCCTCTCTGGCCCAGTAATAATTTTTTTGCAACTATATTAAAAATAGCTGGAGATTTGGATGAAGATTTCTATTCAACGCTGTGCATCACAGGGTTATTGGTAACAACGAAATAAGGGGACAAAGTAGAATAGGGTCATGGCAAACTGAGCCACGTTCACTACCCTGAAATCGTTTTAAGTATTTTCAAGAATATGTATGCACGTGGGAAAATGGCCATGAATTACTGCTAAGTGAAAAGAACTCAAAACCTATATACTAGTACCATCTAGAGTTGTTAGGGACATAAACACAGATGTAAGGAGAAACTTTGGAGTGAGAAATTATCAAAATTTTAATCCTGGTGTATCTCTGGGTGAGATCACAATCGAATGTTTGTTTATTTTTCACACGCTACCTTTCTGTAACTCCCAAATGATGCGCAATAATCGTGAGTTGCTCCTACATTCCGAGGAGCGGCAAGCCCACACTAGGGCGCCCTCTCGCAGCGCGCGCGGCGGTGCGGGGCCGGTTAGCCCCCCAGCTCCGGGACGCCGCCCAGCAGCCCCACCCCCCGCCCGCCCCCCGCCCGCCCCCCGTGCCGCCTACCAGCGCCAGGGCAATGCAGTCGTCCGCGGTGGCGGCCGAGGCGCAGGTCACTTTCCCGTTGCTCGCGCTGCTCCACTGATCGCACTTGCGCCGCTCCTCGGGGCCCACCGCGCACCACACGACCCGAGCGCGCCGCGCCGCCACCTCCTCCGCCGCTGCCCAGAAGACCATGGCGGGTCGGCAGCGGCCCGGAGCTCGGCGGGCCGGCTGCCTCCCTTCCTCCCCCAGGCCCCGGAGCCCGGGCTCCACGCCGAGCCCCCTAGCGGCTCCGACCCCGCTACCCCGGGACGCACACGGAGCCGCTTCCCCAGCGGAGGAGGCGGGCATCTGCCCCTCCCCCAGCCCCCGACCTCTCCTTCAGGCGGGCTGACCCCCCACCCCCACGCCGGCTCCCATTTCCATCCTCTGGAGACTTCCCTGGCTCACATTCTGCCTGTCCACTCTTAGGGTAACGGCCTGCCAAATGTCTCCGTCCCGCGGGATAAAAGCTCCAGGACGCAGAGGCAGCAGCCCCGGGAAACGGCCTCGGGACGCTGAGCCCCGCCCCCCCCTTCCCGTTGGCTGCACTGCGGCTGCCGGTTCACCCAGACTCCATCCCAAGCCCCCCAGGGGAATCAGAGCCGCGGCAGAGGGGCCTACTGCGGTGTCGCCAGCCAAGTCCAGGCACGGGGCGTGTCGTGCCAGGCCTCTGGATTCGTCCTGGGAGGAACCCTGGCTCTCTTGGTTCCGGTTTATATTTCTTGCTTCATAGGAGACAAACTGCTTTTTCTGTCAGGGCTGGGCAGCCTGGGACATACGGCAGCAGAAACCAGGGGCTGACACTGTTCGGAGACGCTCCTACAGGCTACCATGCCCTGACTCGGTTGGCAGAAGTCACGGGCACTGCGTCAGACCTACCACGGTGGGGACCTCGGCAGCCAGGGCACGGGCGGCGACCAGGACGGGCAGGGCGCCCCGCCCAGGAGGGCGGCCTCTCCCCCAGCCCACCGCCCGCCGCAGCCGCCCTCGGGGCCCGCCTGGCCTCACTCACTTTCCCTCAGGCCCGCGGTGGCGGTGAGGTAGTTGAAGCCCAGGTACAGTCCAGAATCTATCTTCGAGGGGATCCTCAGAAACCCAAGGGCGGAGTCTTTGAACAGCAGGTCCTTTTGTCCGGAAGGGGAGCCGAAGAGCTGGAAACCTGGTGACTTGTTTTTTCCGAATTTTTCCTAATTACGGAAAATAGAATTACGATGCCGCTGGTATATAGGGAAGAAAGAAACAAACGAGCGATCAAAACCGTGATGGAAAGAGCCTCTGGAGCGCAGGGATGCCTCTGAGCGGGAGCCTTTGCTGGCGCCCTCCTGCAGAAGGGCCGGTCGTCCCTGTGACTGCAGCTCAGCAGTGGCTTCGTCGGAAAGTTGCTGGGGTCCAAGCGCTTAGAGTCCTGAGAAGACTGCCTCGACCCCCCACCCACTTCTGCCCCAGCCCCTGAAACACTCAGTGGGTAGGGCTAGGGAGGGCTTTGATGTTTCCACTACCCAGAGTACAACCTCGGCAAGCAGCCCACTGAACTTGTAAACTCCTGTGCAGTGACAGGATCAAGGCCTCATTGAGTAGCAGGAAGTTAGGGAAGGAAGGACCCTCCCCACTACCAAATCCGAGCAGGAGGGGACTGTGGGTGGGATACCTGTGCCTTGCGGAGAAGACCCCAGATCAAGTCCTCCTTGCCATTCACACTTCGGGCCACAACAGCATGAGAGGGAACCCGGGCCAGGTTGCACGTGTCATATTCATCCACTGGCTTCCGAGTATTGTCTAAGCAGAGCAGCTCATACTGGTCCCTGTCAGCTTTGTTTGGCAGGTTCTCTGGGGGGAAGGCGAGAGGGGGAGAGGACGCCAGGTGAGCCTACTCCAAGCAGTAGCATGAGCTGTAGTTCCCCTTCCCCCATGGAATTTGAGCTGGAGTGGTTGACAAAATTAGGAGTCAAAAGGCAGTGGATTGCTCCAGAACACCTACAAGGTAAAGTCAGTACCCACAAAGTGCAGGGGGCCAGCCCAGTGTTCCCCTGACTGGATCATACAGGCTGCCTTGGGATTGCTACAGCTGCTGCCTGGCAAGCCAACAAGGCTGCACCAGACCCCATCTGTTTCCATGACCATGGGACCAGAAAAGGGTAACATAGTAGAGACAATCCCAGGGGGGCCAGCCAGGGGTGCTGCCTTACCCACATCTCTAGAAAGAATTAAAATGACAATAATTTTAAGGTAAGAAATACAATTGAGCCACTTCCCAACACTGGGTATATCAAAAGAAGGGAAAAGACTTTTTATGAGTGAGTTCAGCCCAATTTGGAACTGCTAATCTATGCAACATGAAGTTGCTTCAGAATATATAAAGTGACAGTAATTTGTCCAAGTCATTTTATGAGATTGGTACAACCTTGATCTTAAAATCAGAGAAAGAAGTACAGGAAGGATGAATTACAGGCCTATTTTACCTATGAACGTAAGTACAAAAATCTCAAATAATATGCTAACTCAACCTGAGTATTTTTTTAAATATTGGATCAGGATTAAGGCTGTCCAATTTATTCCACTAAAAAATGATGGCTGATCATCAAAAAAGTTTAAGTAATCCATGACATTAATAGATTAAAGGAGAAAAACCATGAGGTCATCCAAACCTTAATAGGTGCAGGGGGCCAGCCCAGTGTTCCCCTGACTGGATCATACAGGCTGCCTTGGGATTGCTACAGCTGCTGCCTGGCAAGCCAACAAGGCTGCACCAGACCCCATCTGTTTCCATGACCATGGGACCAGAAAAGGGTAACATAGTAGAGACAATCCCAGGGGTGTTCCCAGCGTATGTTCAACAATCCCAGCGTATGTTCAACATCTATTTGTGATTTATTTTTAATTTCAGAAATATAAAGAACTTGGTAATTATTGAACTTGGTAAATGCCATTTACCAAAATAGCTACAGCAAAATCATACTTAAATAAGAAAATATAAACATTCACTTCAAGGTCAGGAACAAGACAAGAATACTAGCTATCTCACTGCCAACACAATACCACCTGGCCTGGATTACACAACTTACAAAAGAAATAAAAGAGATGTAAACACTGGAAGGAAAAAGACAAACTCGAATATTTAAGGTTGATGTAATCATCTACATAGAAAAGCCAACAAAACCAAGGGAGAATAAAACTAACAGCAGAGTTCAGCAGGGTAACACCACAAAAATTCAGTGTTATCCCCATTAGCAATCACCAAACAGAAAAAAATATAGAATGTAAAATACTATAACAGCAACTAACCATTAAATAGCTAATAATTAACCTCACAAAGAAATGCAGAAAACCAACAAAGAGAAAAATTTAAGTCCTATTAAAGAATATAAAAAGGTGTGATCAAATGGGAGGGATTTATCAAGATCAGTAACTAGACAAGTTAACATTAAGAATATGTCTTTTCATGGGTCAATTTAAATTCAAACAATTCTAATTAAAATTAAAGAATGATGTTTTTATAAATTCAAAAAATAACTCTAAACTTTCAGTTAAAAATTTTTGAAAAGGACCAGCAAAGTATAAGGTGAGAAGGCTCTCTTTCTCTCTTCCCTTCTCCCCCCAGATAGTAAGTTCCACTAAAAGCTAGATAATAAAAGCAGAAAAACACAAATACACCAATGAAACAAAATAGCTCAGAAACTGATCCGTGGATCTATACAAAGTTAATGTAACAGTGACTCTACATATCAGCAGGAAAAGATAAAATTGTGTGTAGTTGCTATTGTGAGGAAAATGGCCTCACTGTAAAGGGGGAAAGTGGGGAACCAAATCCGTATCTAATTGTCTAGGTGGCATACATGGAAACAAATGTGTGTTGGGGAGGGTGGTCTTTAAATCTTATTGTAGGAAATCTTTATGATTTGGGGGTGAAGAGAGCATCTTTAAAAGACTCCAGATAAGGATTCAAGAGAGGATTAAAGATGGCATCATGAGAGGTGAGACAGAGGCTTCCTCCTAAAACCACATATAATATGAAAATATAATTAATACGATGAATCCTGAAAGAGCAACAGGAAAGAGGGCTGCGCCAAACTGCATGCACCTGGAGAAAAGAATAAACCTCATGGAACAGGGTAACTTACCAAAGCCATGGCAGGGAGGGACCCAAGTCCTTTCTCCACCTCAGCTCACTGGCTGGAGGAAGAGAAACAGAGTGGGGTGGGAGTGGAGGCCTGGAACTGCTAAATACCTAACTCTGGAGATCTGCTCTGGGAGCACAAACCTATACTTCATGGTGCTTTCATGGTACTCTTATGATTAGGGGGTTGGAAAGCTAAGACAGGCAGAATACCTGGAGAGACTGAGATGCCAGCTCCTTGTGGAAAGCAGGGATCCACATCCAGCTGCACTGGGACAAAAGAAAGGTGGGCAGTCTCAAGAGACTTCCTAACAGCAAGAGGGCTGCTAAAGGGGCAAGGATTGCACAGAGCTTGCTGCTCAAGAGAAAGGAATGGTAAACAAAATTGTCCAGGTACACTCTGCCCAGCAGGTTGGGAACTTTCTCAATCTTCAGGCATTACAGCTACCTAGTGGGCTACAGAGCTCCAAAGACCCCCTCCATGATATGCAGCCTACTGCGCCTTTCTCCCGGCCAGCCCCACCTGACTCGCAAACTGGCAAAACATACCCTGGCATTAGGCCAGCCAGAGGGAAGCCCCATCTACAGCAACTACAAATGCAAAACATAGAGACTTATACCTGTGTACTCGGCCCACTGGTTCTGGCAGTGGAGACAGACATAGCAGCCGGGGAGCAGGAAACAGCTCTTTCCTCCCCCAAGGCACCAATACCACTTCCCTGTGACCCCTGACATTGCTCCAGTGAGTAGAGCTTCTAGGCATTAGAGGGTGCCATATACAAATACGAAACACCAAAGGAACCTGGTTCAAAGTAAAATTATGAATACGACACCAGACAAAGATTCAAATGAAATCGACCTCATGAGTTTTCCTGAAAGAGATTACAAAATAAAAAGCATAAACATGCTCATGGAGGTACACAAAAATATTCAAGACCTCAGGAATGAATTCCAGTTGGAGATCCAATTGTTGAAGAGCACAATGGAGGGTATTAAAAGCAGATTAGATATGGTGGAGGAGATGATAAATGAAATAGAAATTAGAGAATAGGAATACAAAGGAGCTGAGGCACAGAGAGAAAAAAGGATCTCTAAGAATGAAAGAATATTGAGAAAACTGTGTGACCAATCCAAACGGAACAATATTCACATTATGGGGGTACCAGAAGAAGAAGAAGAGAGAGAAAGGGATAAAAAGTATCTTTGAGGAGGTAATTGCTGAAAACTTCCCCAATCTGGGGAAGGAGATAGTCTCTCAGGCCATGGAGGTGCACAGATATCCCAACACAAGGGACCCTAGGAAGACAACACCAAGACATATAATAATTAGAATGGCAAAGATCAAGGATAAGGACAGACTACTAAAAGCAGCCAGAGAGAGAAATAAGGTCACATACAAAGGAAAATCCATCAGGCTATCATACTTCTCAGCAGAAACCTTACAGGCCAGAAAGGAGTGGCATGATGTATTTAATGCAATGAAGTAGAAGGGCTTTGAACCAAGAATATTTTATCTGGCAAGATTATCATTTAAATTTGAAGGAGGGATTAAATAATTTTCAGATAAGCAAAACCTGAGAGAATTTACCTCCCACAAAATGTCTATACAGTGTATTTTGGAGGGACTGCTATAGATGGAAGTGTTCCTAAGGTTGAATAGCTGTCACCAGAGGTAAAAAAAAAAACAAAAAAACCACAGTCAAGAAACTAGAACAGTTAATTACTAAGCAAATGCAAAATTAAATCAACTACCCCCAAAGTCAGTCAAGGGATAGAAAAAGTACAGAATATGATACCTAATAATAAAGAATGGAGGAAGAAGAAAAAGGAGGAGATTGTGTTTAGATTGTGTTTGTAATAGCATATTAAGTGAGTTAAATTAGACTATTAGATAGTAAGGAAGTTAATCTTGAACCTTTGGTAACCACAAATCTAAAGTCTGCAATGGCAATAAGTACATACCTATCAATGATCACCCTAAATGTAAATGAACTGAATGCACCAATCAAAAGACATAGAGACACTGAATGGATAAAAAAAGAAGACCCATCTATATGCTGCCTACAAGAGACTCACTTTAAATGCAAAAACATACACAGACTAAAAGTGAAGGGATGGAAAAAGATATTTCATGCAACTAATAGGGAGAAAAAAGCAGGAGTTGCAGTACTTGTAACAGACAAAATAGACTTCAAAACAAAGAAAGTCACAAGAAACAAAGAAGGACATTACATAATGATTAAGGGGTCAAACCAACAAGAAGATATAACCATTAAAAATATCAATGCGCCCAACACAGGTGCACCTACATATGTGAAATAAATACTAACAGAATTAAAAGGGGAAATAGAATGCAATACATTCATTCTAGGAGACTTTAACACTCCACTCACTCCAAATGACAGATCAACCAGACAGAAAATAGTAAGGAGAAAGAGACATTGACGAACACATTAGAACAGAAGGATCTAACAGACATCTACAGAACTCTACACCTGAAAGCAGCAGAATACACATTTTTCTCAAGTGCACATGGAACATTTTCAAGAATAGATCATATACTAGGCCAAAAAAGAGCCTCGGTAAATTCAAAAAGATTGAAATTGCGCCAATCAGTTTCTCAGACCACAAAGGTATGAACCTAGAAATACATTATACAAAGAAAATGAAAAATCCCACAAACACATGGAGACTTCACAACATGCTCCTAAATAACCAATGGATCAATGACCAAATAAAAACAGAGAGCAAGTAATATATGGAGACAAATGACAACAATAATTCAACAATGCAAAAATCTGTGGGATGTAGTGAAGGCCGTGCTAAGAGGAAAGTATATTGCAATACAGGCCTACCTCAGGAAAGAAGAACAATCCCATATGAACAGTCTAAACTCACAATTAACAAAACTAGAAAAGGATGAACAAATGAGTCCCAAAGTCAGTAGAAGGGGGGACTTAATAAACATTAGGGCAGAAATTTAAAAAATCAAGAAGAATAAGATAATAGAAATAATCAATGAAAGCAAGAGCATGTTCTTCGAGAAAATAAACAAAATAAATAAATCCCTAGCCAGACTTATCAAGAAAAAAAGAGAGTGTACTCACATGAACAGAATCAGAAATGAGAAAGGAAAAATCACTATGGATACCACAGAAATACAAAGAATTATTAGAGAATACTATGAAAAATTATATGCTAATAAACTGATAACCTAGAAGAAATGGACAACTTTCTAGAAAAATATAACTTTCCAAGGCTGACCCAGAAAGAAATAGAAAATCTGAACATACCAATACCAGCACGGAAATTGAACTGGTAATCAAAAAACTACCTAATAACAAAACCCCTGGACCAGATGGCTTCATCACTTAATTTTATCATTTAGTGAAGACCTAATACCCAGCCTCCTTCAAGTTTTCCAAAAAGTAGAAGAGGAGGGAATCCTTCCAAACTCATTCTATGAGGCCAGCATCACTGTAATACCAAAACCAGACAAAGACAACACAAAAAAAGAAAATTACAGACCAATATCCCTGATGAACATAGATACAAAAATACTCAACAAAATATTAGCAAACAGAGTTCAAAAATACATCAAAAAGATCATCCACCATGATCAAGTAGGATTTATTCCAGGGATGCAAGGATGGTACAACATTCGAAAATCCATCAACATCATCCACCACATCAACAAAAAGAAAGACAAAAACCACATGATCATCTCCACAGATGCTGAAAAACCATTTGACAAAATTCAATATACATTCATGATAAAAACTCTCAGCAATATGAGTATAGAGGGCAAGTACCTCAACATAATAAAGGCTGTATATGACAGACCCACAGCCAACACCATACTTAACAGCAAGAAGCTGAAAACTTTTCCCTTAAGGTCGAGAACAAGACAAGGATGCCCACTCTCCCCACTTCTATTCAACATAGTACTGGAGGTCCGAGCCACGCAATCAGAAAACACAAAGAAATAAAAGGCATCCAGATTGGCAAGGAAGAAGTCAAACTGTCCCTGTTTGCAGATGACATGATATTGTACATAAAAACTCTAAAGAATCCACTCCAAAACTACTAGATCTAATATCTGAATTCAGCAAAGTTGCAGGATACAAAATTAATATGCAGAAATCTGTGGCATTCCTATATACTAACAAGGAACTAGAAGAAAGATAAATCAGGAAAAAATTCCATTCACAGATACATCAAAAAGAATAAAATACCTAGGAATAAATCTAGCCAAGGAAGTAAAAGACCTATGCTCTGAAAACTACAAGACACTCATGAGAGAAATCAAAGACGATACCAATACATGGAAACACATCCTATGCTTATGGACAGGAAGAATTAATATTGTCAAAATGGCCATTCTGCCTAAAGCAATTTACAGATTCAATGCAATTCCTATCAAAATACCAACAGCACTCTTCAATGAACTAGAGAGAAGAGTTGTAAAATTCATATGGAACCACAAAAGACCCCGAATAGCCAAAGCAATCGTGAGAATGAAGAATAAAGCTGGGGGTATTATACTCCCCAACTTCAAGCTCTACTACAAAGCCACAGTAATCAAGACAGTTTGGTTCTGGCACAAGAACAGACCCATAGACCAATGGAACAGAAAAGAGTCCAGATATAAACCCAAGCATATATGGCCAATTAATATATGATAAAGGAGCCATAGACATACAATGGGAAATGACAGCCTCTTCAACAGCTGATGTTGGCAAAACTGGACAGCTTCATGCAAGAGAATGAAACTGGATTATTGTCTAACCCTATACACAAAGGTAAACTCAAAATGGACCAAAGACCTGAATGTAAGTCATGAAACCATAAAACTCTTAGAAGACAACATAGGCAAAATTCTCCTGAATGTAAGTAAGCATGAGCAACTTCTTCCTGAACACATTTCCTCAAACAAGGGAAACAAAAGCAAAAATGAACTCATGGGACTACATCAAACTAAAAAGTTTCTGTATGGCAAAGGACACCATCAACAGAACAAAAAGGCATGCTACAGTATGGGAGAATATATTTGTAAATGACATATCTGACAAGGGGTTAACATTCAAAATATATAAAGAACTCACATGCCTCAACATCCAAGAAGCAAATAACCTGATTAAAAAATGGGTGGAGTATATGAACAAACACTTCTCCAAAGAAGAAATTCAGATGGCCAACAGACACATGAAAAGATGCTCCACATCACTAATCATCAGGGAAATGAAAATCAAAACCACAATGAGATATCACCTCACACCAGTACAGATGGCCAGCATCAGAAAGACTAAGAACAACAAATGCTGGCGAGGATGCAGAGAAAGGGGAACCCTCCTACACTGCTGGTGGGAATGTAAGCTAGTTCAACCATTGTGGAAAGCAGTATGGAGGTTCCTCAAAAAACTAAAAATAGAAATACCATTTGACCTGGGAAACCCACTCCTTGGAATTTACCCAAAGAATACAAGTTCTCAGAATCAAAAAGACATACTCACCCCTATGTTTATCACAGCACTATTTACAATAGCCAAGATATGAAAGGAACCTAAGTGTCCATCAGGAGATGAATGGATAAAGGAGATGTGATACATATACACAATGAATACTGTTCAGCCATAAGAAAGAAATAAATCCTACCATTTGCAGCAACATGGATGGAGCTGGAGGATATTATGCTCAATGTAATAAGCCAGGCAGAGAAAGACAAGTGCCAAATGATTTCTCTCATTTGTGGAGTATAACAATGAAGCAAAACTGAAGGAACAAAATATCAGCAGACTCACAGACTCCAAGAAAGGACTAGTGGTTACCAAAGAGGAGGGGTGTGGGAGGGCAGGTCGGGAGGGAGAGAGAAGCAGGTTGAGGGGTATTACGTTTAGTACACATGGTGTGGGGGGTCACAGGGAAGACAGTGTAGCACAGAGAAGGCAAACTGGATGTGTGGCATCTTGCTACACTGATGGACAGTAACTGCACTGGGGTATGGGTGGGGACTTGATAATATGAGCAAATATAGTAACCACATTGTTTTTTCATGTGAAACTTTCATAAGAGTGTATATCAATAATTTAATAAAACAATTTAAAAACAAATAAATAAAAAATAAAAGACTCCAACAACACAAACCAATAGGGCAAAACTGATGAATCTGATGCTATCAATATCTTGTTTGGGCTTCTGTTCAACAAAGGATGCTATTGACAGATTTTTTTAACTGAGAGAAGATCTTCCTAAAGTTTAGAGCTAACCATGCCTTGACATTAAGATAGAAGGAACTCTTATCTTTGGATCAAAGTCATGAAGAAAGAGGTGTGAAATTCAATTAAGAAATAGTCAAAGATTATAAAATAAAAAAGGAAAGCCCAAATTACTAGCAAATATATTGAGAGGATCAAACTCACTAGATGTCAGAAAAATGCAAATTAAACCAGCAGTGAGATATCTATTGTTTTACAGCCATCATTTGAACAAAAAATATCAAAGTCAAAAATACCCCAGATTGAAGTTGTGGGGAAATGAGAACACTGCAGAGTGCTGGGAGTGTAATTCCCAAGAACAACCTGATAGTTCTGGGCGAGTGTGGTAGGCCCATCTCTGGTCATCCTGAGTGAAATGCAGTTAGTGGCCCTGTCTCTAGTGGCCTTGCATGTGGCGGCTCTAGTGACCCCGGGTAGAATGTGCTCAGCCAAGCATACCCTGTGTCCCAATGTGTGGTCCCTCAGGGACAGCAAGAGGACACACATAAGGGCCGTTTTGGTAGAGGGAAGAACAGGGTGACCTAGTCCATCACTAGGGTGACAGATAAATCAAATCTGGTGGGTACATTCTGTGGAGCATCCCTCAACTAGAACTAGTGAACTAGTTAGATAGAACCAGTGAACTAGAAATACACCACCACAGAGAAATGTCTAAAAACAGGTGCTGAGTGCAAAACCATGTCAACAGCATAGTTTCCAATGACAAGGAACCCAGAAGCACAAACCAGCACACTATACATTTTGCAAGACCTTGTACATCTGGGAGGACAAGCGTCAAGTGCCTTGGCATGGGCTTCTATTAAGGAGAAGAGAAAGGCAGTGGTCATGGGAGGTTTAAAGAAAACTGACCATTTAAATTATGAAATAATCTAAAATAAGAGCTGTGCCCTGTAGACAAGCTTGTAATATTGTACCAAGAAGTGAGGAACCCAATAAGCTCAATACTCAGAATTATGATAAAATAAAAGGAAGCAGAGTCCATGGCTCTTCTCTCCCCTCTTACCAAACACTGTGCTGTTCCTGACAAAAGCCACGTCTCCAGCGCCCTCTTCCAGGCACCTGTGCAATAGGAAAGGTCAGGACAGAACGGCCCTCCTGGCTTCCTCCCGGTGTCCGGTGGAACAGGGCCCCGCGGTGTGTCTCCTGTGGGTGGGCGGCCATCTGCACGGGGCTCTGAGGCTTTGCGGCACCTCCACTCGGAAGGTGGCAGGGCCTCCTCCAGGTAGATGCTGAGGAGCAAGGGCTCAGGGGCTGGCCAGACACCCCCAGCCTTCTGCTTTAAGAGCTGAAAGGGCAAAACTATGTCTTTCTTTGTAAAAGAGAGTTTTGAAGCCTCTACACCAGAGCATAAAGGCTTAATATCCTTGGCCATGTGGGTTTTTCTCTCTCAGGACTCCGTAGGCAAAGTGCCCTGGCTGGTGGACAGGTGGTGAGCCTGCCTCTGCAAAACGCCTGGACCCAGATGGCGGCAGAGGAGTGGTGCCAGCAACAGCTTGGGGGCGTCAAGTGCAGAGGCAGGTCAGGAAGCTCTCACTGTATCTCTGCACATGGAGAGGCCCGGTGGGCAGACCACCAGCCTGGACACTCCGGCTGCCCTGCTGGCCTAGAGCCTGGGACTGGCCATCTCATGACAAGCCTCCTTCAGACCCTCTGTGGTCAGAGGAGGGTGGAAGTCAACAAGAAGACAACACAGGGACAAAACCAAATTCTGGGTTCTCTGGGGAGACAGAATAGGCCACTGTTAAGGTGACTGCTCATCAGGCTGGTACAGAGGTATAGGGACACGTGTGGGGCCCTGGGCCCTGGAGGGATCATGCCGGGCAACTCTTGGACTCAGTTCCTCTGTCTGCACAGCAGCAGGAGAATGGAACCTCCTCTATGGTCCCTACTAGCAGACTGAGTTCTACTGGGAGGCCAGAGAAAAGGCCTCCTGGCCTGAGGACAGTGACACTCAGGCTGCTGGGGAGATGAAGACAGTCTCACTCACTTGAAGGCACCTGAGTAGCCAAAGTAAGGTTCCTGGGAGGAGCAGGCACATTTACTTGCTCCTGTGCCCTTACACAGCTCACACAGGCTGGGGAACTGGTTTCCATCAGCGCAGGGAACACAGCTGGCAGAGAAGAATTTGGCCACAGCTGTTGAACACAGAGAAATGAAGCACAGTGTGAGCCCACCCAGCCACGTCCAGCTACACCTCCCAGTGCACACTCGCCATGAGCAGAGAGCCATGTCCTCCACCCTGGCCAGGCAGCCTCTGTGCAGGTCAGGAGCTTAGAGAGGCACACCTTGGCTGGGAGCAGACTCAGCTGCGTCTCCCAAGGGCTGCTGGTGCAGCAGCCCCAGGGCATGTTTCCAGCCAGTTAACCTCACCCCCACCTTGGATTCATCATGCACGTTCACCTGGGGAATCCCCAGGTGGGCTGTGTATGAAACTGGAGTAGAGACTCCTGCCAGAGGTCACCCACCATCCCCCAGCCGTCTTACCATTCTCAAGGGACTCAGGTGGCCCTGTCCAGTTCAAGAATGGACGAAGTATCCCGATAGGGACATTCCACCCAGCGGACCTGCCGAGACCAGTGTGGCAGGACCTCACGCCTTGCAGTTGGTTCAGCTGAAACTTGGTGCCTTTCTTCGCTATGGCCACAGCATAATAGTGGCTTTGTGGCTCTGTAAAGGAGCAGAGAGAATTTAAAGTTCTTAGCCTGAACGAGAGGGAGAAAAATAGCCCAGCCTGCCCAAGCTCCTGGTGGGAAGGGGAGCTGTATCCTGCAGAGTCATCCAGGGCAGAACGGCCCAGAGCCTGTTCTCTTTCCCCGGAGAGCACACACGTGTCCTCCCCAGCACATCAGCATCTGACCCAAAGAGCCCAAGGACTCCATTCCCTGCAAGTGTGGTGCTGTCTGAGCCCCCACCTCTGCTTCTCATCTACTTTCCCTCCACAGAGCCCACGGCCAAGGGCAGGACCACCCCAGTGTCTGGGTCTCCAGGGAGAACTCACCTGCTTCAGTCCCGTAGACCTCTGCCACCACAGGTCGAAGGTTGTAGGGGGCCAGGCCTGCTTCAAACACCCAACCACCGTCAAGGGTCACAGCATCTGCCTTGTTTGCCTGAAAGTGAAGAGGCCAAATTGGGTTCAGGAGAAAACCGGCCCTAATCCAGGCAAGTGGATTTCTGGATGCCAGAAGGCTCCATGACTGGCAGGATCTTCAAAAGAGTCTGCTTTCAATCATGTCCACTCATGTCCTGCGAGAGGTTGCATGAGCTGAGGGTCCCTTTTTTTGGGCAATGGGAACCAGCCCAACTGCTCTAACTCCTGAGATTGGCACATTGCCTCTTTTTTTGCCTACCTGCCTATATTGCTCCACTGACCCTGCGCTTCACTGTTATTTCTATTTGAAGTTGCTTGTTCTAAATGTTTCTCTCCTGTTTTTGCTCCATATTTCTTTAAATTTCTTTTTTATTAAATAGCAAACATAACTACTACAATATCTTAAAATTATCATAATAAACCATGGTCATCCTCTTTAGCATGTTACTTCTCATATGCCTACATATTTCTTTTATTTTAAATTTGGTAGATAATATTTTGTGGACTGTTTTGTTCATCTAAAACTGCATGCATTCTCTTACTTCTGTAGGACCTTTATTGATTTTATTGACTTCATAATATTTTATTATAATGTTGTTGTTCCATAATTTATTAAATAATTCCCCCAAATGTTCCACACTTTTCTTTTTTACTGTGTTTTCATGGACAGCTTTGTCCTCATAGCTTTTTTCCTTCTGATGACCTATTGCCTTAGGATAGACCTTTGAGGGTCGAATCACCCAGACAAAGAGCATGTTCTGGCTTCATGATAGTCCTGGCTGCTGTTGCCATTCTGCTTTCCAGAAGATTCATAATGTCGTGTAGAATGGACTGTGAAGATAAGTTATGCTATAGAATCACCAGCAAGACAGGCTTTTATTGTTAAAGATAGCACTTTATTAAGTGCTACTATTTAAAAAATGCAAGTGCTAACAAATTGCTTAGATTTGTATTTCTCTATTAAGGGGAATGTTTCATTAGTGTTTTTATTAGTTGCATATTCCCTTTACTAACACCCTGTTCATATCATTTTCCTTATATGATCCTACATTTCTTAGCAGTTTGAATTAATTCTTTATAGAGAATAAATAGTGATCACTTGTTACACCTGGTGCAGATTCATGCTGAAACTTTCTAAATTATTTCTTTAATTTGAAGTAAGTTTTTTGTATTTTAAAATCAGTTTACTTCACAATTTAATTAATTGCTTAAAAGCTATGAGATTTCTCTTTCCTCTACAGTTCTCCTTATTAAGCTGTCCCCTCATCTTTCAATAATACATGTTTTATTTTTTACCACTTAATCTATCTTGACTTTATTTTGCTGTATGGCATGTAGAATTGATTTCACATGGGGCTCTTACTAAAAAGGCAGGTTTTGTGACCTCATCGCAGGTGTTCTGGTTGAATAAGTCAAAATAGGGTCTAGGAATCTTCACTTAAAACCAGCAAAGAATGTTGACATCATTTGTCCACAGGCCACAGTTGTGACATAAAGCTTAAAATATGCTCAGACTAGATTCTTTTCCTGAAGTGCTATTCCAAGAACCAAAGATATTGTTGGAAACATAAACCCCCCACACTGTGCTAGGACACACAACTGTGGCACACAGCAGGAGCACAGAACATATTTACTGTGTGAGTAAAAATTATTTCAGTAGATCTTATATCTCAAAAGAAAAGAAAAAAGAATCTGAAGTCACCCACATTTCATGATTCCCTTTCTTTCTCTCTCTGAAAATGTCCTGGACAAATGTCTGTCCAATGCTCAGTGTCTGGGCAGGCCCTCCCCTACCAATATGACATGGTGACTCTGCCCAGCTAAGCTTATTTCTCTCAGGGTTAGAGGTTTGCCTTTCAGAGCAACCTTGACTTTTTCTGGTGTTACGTATTTATCCAGTATGACTTCATCTGTGTCATTTTTACCAAATATTGTCAATTTAGATTGGGATCCCAGTACATGCTCTCCCTGCTTTAGAATGTTAATTTCTGCTTTCAAAATAGTGTTGTGTCCCTTGAGAGAGGGCAGCTCCAACTGCACAGGAGTCAACTTTCCTCTGCCCAGAAAGAAAAGCAGAGGGATTAGGTGAAAGCACATTGTGTATTTTACTCCATCCTTTTCCCTTCCATTTAATCTGATCTCACCCAACATATGGTGCTGACTTACCGCAATAGCCTGGATACATTCAATGTAGGAGGTTTTCTTAACACAGGAGACAGAGGGGCCATGCACTTTTTTCATATTCTGTTGGAATTTGGAGCATTTTGTTGCCTCTGGTTGTGATATGGTACACCAACGAACGCTTCTCCTAGGGGCAGCCAGACATAGTCCTGGGAGAAAGACGTCAAAGAGTAAGCCTCAACCACTGCCCATGGGAGAGACAACCTTATCCTCTATCACAGTTTTCCAATTCCTCCATCTCTCCGTGCCTCCCCTACCCCCTCCATTCTGTAAATAAGTCAGGCCACTGTCCTCAAGTGGAGGTGTCCTGCTGGCCTAAGGAGCACTTTGTGCTTGCCAGAGACCTGTGATTCTCAATAAATTACAGTAGAAATCAGAACCCCTAGATTCTTTTCCTTTCTATGAATGAAATATTTTCTACCCCAGAAAAACTGAAGATGATCCCTTGTATCAATTTATGGAGTTCTTCCACCTGCTTTGTCCCACTTGAACCTGGGAGGTAGGCAGGAAGGGGATTATTGCTCTTGTTTTACTGTTTTACTGATGTGAAAACTGGCTCTTAAGGAGGCTGAGTGACTGGCTGCTCAGCAGTGACAAAGCCCAGCCTAAAACCCAGGTCCCTCTAGACTCTTGTGTCTAAAAGCATCTCCCCAGAGGATGCCAAAGGAATTAAGGAAGTAAGCTGACTCCTTATCAGTAGCTGTGGTAAGTTGTACACCAAGTAGATCAGTGTTCCTGAGTTACCTCCATTCACTTCTGCATTGGAAAAACTGGTTTTCCTGCCAAGCTTGCCTTTGTTGTTGGAATCTATGCAATTAGGGAGAAGACTGTACCACAGTTGCTCATAGCTCTTAAAAACCACATGGTTGCCTTATAAAGGGCATCTATGAAAAACTTACAATGAACATCATATTAAAATAGTGAAAAACTTAATGCTTTCACCCTAAGATCAGGAATAATGCAAGGGTATCCACTCTCACTTCTTCTATTCAACATAGTACTGGAAGTCCTAGCCACAGCAATAAGGCAAGAAAAATAAAAGCCATCCAGACTGGAAGGGAAGAAATAAAACTGTCTTTATTTGCAGATGACCTGATCCTTGATGTAGAAAATCCTTAAGGAGTCCACAAGATGCTATTAGAACTATAAGGCCATTAGTTCTAATAATGAAGTCACAGGATACAAGATCAATATATAAAAAGCAATTATATTTTCAGATACAAGCATTGGATGATCTGAAAAATGAAATTAAGAATATAATTCTATTTATAATAACATCAAAAATATTTAAATACTTAGCAATATTTAACAAAAACTGTAAGATTTGTAACTGAAAATTACAAAATTTTGCTAAGTGAAATTAAAGAAGATCTAAATAAATGTAAATTTATGTTCATGTTTTATAAGACTCAATATTATTAAGATAGTAATTCTCTTTAAATTGATACAGAGAATCAACACAATTCCTATCAAAATTCCAGCAGGCCTTTTTTTTTTCTTTTGCAGAAATTGACAGGCAGATTCTAAAATTATATAAATAAATCTTATTGAGAGGATGAAAATGTACTAAAATTGACAATGCACCAATTGGTAAAATTACTAAAAATAACTGAATTGTACACTTGAAATTGGTGAAATGTATAATATGTGAAATATACTTCAGTAAAGCTGTTATAAAAAACAAAAAGCACTTGGTTGCAAAAGCCCCCTTCACCTTTGGATGTGCTTTGGGGTAAAATACTCAGCCCTCTGCCACCTCCTATTCATGAACCATCCTCTGCACAGTCAGACCCACCAAGGTATTTAGAGTGCACTGGGAGGGTGTGGGCTCCCAGGCTGAGTCAGCAGGGGTTTATAGGAGCACACTGCCACACATTCCCCCACCAGCCAACATTCCAGAGAAATCCTAGTAAATGTAATCTATCCTCAGAAGCTCTCATAAAACTGTCCTGCAGTGGAATTAGACCAATCAGATTCAGCCATCTGTGACACAGTGGCATTTACAAGATACCCTCTGTATACACAGCATTGTGGGTCATGCAGAGGAACATGTCAGTAGAAGGACCAGATGTCACCTCTCATCTGGAGAGGCAGAAAAACAAAGAAAAGGAAGCTAAGCATGATGAATCCTCTAGAAGAGAGCAAATATCAAACCAGGAGTGAGGTCCCTATGATCTCGGTCGGTAATTAGGGGAGGTGACATTCCAGCAGGGGGAAAGAACAGATGCTGTGCGGCTAACGTTGCAGGCACATTCTATGCCAGGGCACTTCACATGCTCTCTCTCCATTGACCCTCAGCCCCTCCTTATTGTGAGTTCTGCCAATATCCTCATTTTCTAGTTGAGGGAAGTGTGATTTCAACTAGTTATATGGCTTGCCTAAGGTCCCACAGCTAATAAATATTGTACCTAGGATATGGACCTAGGCAATCAGACACAAAACCCCCACTCTTAGCACAAGGCTAGCTTTAGGCTGGCTAGGTTAGAGAAGGGCTGCAGTGGAGATGGGGCTGGTGAAGGGTCTGGGGTTAGATCATCAAAGTCCCTGGTGCTCATCCAAGAAGCTTTTATTCCAGACAGAGTGAAGCAGTGACTCATGGGAGACAGCAGGAATCAGAGCCCTGCCTAGAGTAGGGAACAGCATGGACTGAAACCTTGGAACCAAGGAGAAAAGCACAGAAAACTAAGAAGGGGCAGCAACAGGGAGCTGGTGACAGTAATTATCTTAGTAGTGGAAGGGACCTGCGGGTGAAGGGAGAGAGCAAAATGGAACAGGAGAGTGTACTTCACGTGAGGGGAGGGCATGAACAGTGGCAGGAATGGGGAACCGGGCAGAGCTCCTTTCCTCCCCTTGGAAGGGTAGAGCCCAGGGGCCCCTGAGGGGCTTTCTGAGATCCACAGTGCCAGCCCCCAAGCACCAGAGGCCAGGTGCAGAACACACCAGTCCTCCATGCCCTCCCACAGCCCTCACCAGCCCCTCAGGATCAAGTGCTCCCTGAAGCACTGGGTTTGGCCCTGCCTACACCCCCAGCCAGCACTTTAACAATGGCAGCCACTCAGATGCTGCCCCCCTGGGTCTGTATGGACTCTTCCTGAAAGTACCTGTCCTCAGATTCCTCCTGGGCAGGCATGCAGTGCCCTGGTCTCAAGCACAGGAGCTGGGTGGAGCTGTCTTCACACACATACACACACACACACACACACACACACACACACACACACACACACACTCTCCTCCCCACCCCACTGCCCCACCTCTGCCAGCCTGGATGCCTATAGGGAGCTGGGCAGGAATCCCCTAGGACAGCTGCCACTCCTTCCTCACAATAGAGTGGGGTCTGAGTGACACTTGAGAATACTTGCCCCCATCCCATTGCCTGCAGGGTTTAAACTGCTGACTTCAGTGGGGGCCAAGACAGCCAATGAGTCAAATGAAAATGGAACCCACTGGTGCAAATCATCCAGAATCCTGGACCACAGCCCGTGAGCACTTACAGCAAAGCAAGGCTTGCTACATCTCTGCACCCCAACCTAGGTGACCCCAACCCTGTATTGTGGACCCAGCAGGCAACCTATCAGGGAGCAGAAGGGAAGTTGGTCCTGAGCAGTTGGTCCTGGCCAGGCACAATCCTGCCTTAGAGAAGAAAGGGATGACCAGCACCCAAGGGAAGGAATCTGGAGAAGGAACCAGAAGGCAGGGATGGTATTGCTCCCCCTGGGTCTGAGGGCATGCGCTCATCCCTCTGACCCTCTCACAGAGCCTAGGATTGGTGCTATCAGCCCTTTCTGTTGCGGCCTCCGAGCCTCCCTCCATCGCAGCCAGCACTGCCCTCGGGCGTTCACATCACTAATGTCCATCACTGGCACGGGCCCTCTGAACACCCCAGAAATTATTTCAGCTGCTTGGCTCCAGATAAACAATTGTTTAGTCCCCTCTACTTAGCTCCTTGTAGTTTGGGCGCATTTAAAGCCAGAGATCATTCATTTCTCTCTCACAGCGTCTGACAGAGGGGTCGCGTCAGGAGGATCTGTGCCACTAGACCTGCCTCTCTGCAGTGGACGTGTGTGCTCTCGTTGCCTACCACTGAGCAGCTGGCACCCTGCCTCCTCTTCCACCTGTGTGGGAAGATGGTTCGACCACTTTTTAAATGAGGAAACTAAGGCTCAGAAAGGCTCCTCCTTGCCCAAGCTAGAGTCCTTGCAGGAGCTGGGTTCTGAACTCCAGTCTCCTGTGTGTCCTGGGCAAGTCACTCACCCTCTCTGAGTCACAGAGTTTCCTCCCCTGTAAATAGCGTTTGACAGTACTATGAATACCCAAGGTTCTGGTAGGACAAAACGGGGCAGGGTCCCGGAAAGCCCTTTGGGAAGCTCTGCTCTGGGCAGCTTCAGGCTCGCCCCAGCCGGCTCAGGGGATCCCCGCTCCGGCCCCTCCCCAGGCACGTGTGCGGGCTGCCCGCGGCCCTACTTCCCGGCTGGAGGGGGAAGCAGGAGCTGGTGCGGGCCGCCGGCGCGGGCATCGGGCACCCACAGGCTGGGCGCAGGGACCCAGACGCCCACCAGAGGGGGCGCGCCCCCAGGCACCGGCACTCACCAAGAACCCCGAGGGACAGCAGGGCGGAAAAGAGGAGCTTCATGTCTGGGGTCCTCAGGAGACTGGTGAACGAATGCTCTGCCACTCACCTCTACACCCTTTTATCCAGGGCTCGGTGACCTCACAGGATTTACCCCTTCCTGTGGCCCAACAGGGGCTCCCTGCCCTTCCTCCTCCTTACCCCGCACCCCCACCCCCCACCAGTTCCTTGAGGCCGAAGAACCCTGGGGGGAGGGGACAGGGGCAGGGCGGGGAGAAGGAGCGGAGCCTGGGCAGGGCCTGGCCCCGTGACAGAGAAACTCTGCCTCTCCGGTCTACCCTGGAGCTACGTGGTTCTTGGGATGTTCCTTCTCTCCGCTAGTCTGAGGGTCTCTGGGGAGTCGCAGCCTCAGAGTTCTGTCCTCCCTGTTCTCAGTGCCTCCCAGAGGACAGAGCAGAGGCCCTAAGTGAATATTCGTGATCACCTTGACTGTGAGACTGACCTTTCCTTTAGCAGATTGTGTCTGAAGCGCCTGGGAGCCAGTTCGGGCAGGTGGGTCCCCCCACCTCGGCGCAGCAGCCAGCCAGCTTTCTGAGGAGGACCCACTGGCCTCCACCTGCGGCAGCAGCCTGGGACAACTGGCAGGGTTAACAGAGGCTGCGCAGAGTCTGAGCCAGGCTCCAGTGGGGTCCCACCCAGCCTGCTGAGACCACAGCACAGCTCCCAGGAAACAGATGCAGAGATCTCAGATACAGTGCACCCAGTGGCTGTCTACCTGTCCCCCAATTTGCCAGTAAGAAGGATGTCCCATCACTAGTTTTGTTTTGTGGCAGTATGAGGTGGGTGACGGGACTCATTTTCATAACTGTCTAACTTTCTCCTCAATACATATGCTAACTCTATTTTGGGAAGCTGTTTTTAAATTCTAAAGCTAGACTTCTGCTTGGGAGAATACCTCCTGTGAATGCACTCACATCACTCACAGTGGCTCACACACAGGGATCTCCAGGGCAGTGCCACATGTCATTGACTGATTGGAAGCACACTAAATATCCATCTCCGGGGATCAGAGAGAGTGTGACCCATGCATGCAATGGGACACACAGGAGACCTCTGAAAGCACAGACCACTCTGTATGTGCTGTACTCGTGTGGACTCAGCTCCCAGACATACTAAGTGAAGAAGGTACTAACAGAGAGGGACGTCACAGGCCACCTGAAAGCACCCCCTCTCAATAGGTCAGTGGGGCCAATATGTTATCCTGAAATCTACTTGTCCTGAGAGGCTGGGCCTGACTCTTTCCTTAGACTGCTTGGTACAAAAAGCATTTTCTGGAGCAGTTGAGTAACACCTAACGAGGTGGCACTGTTGAGGGCGGGCGTGCAGAAGACACTCAGCTGGAGAGAAACAAACCCAGCCCCATCTTTGTAGCCCTCAAGGAGACCATGGGGCCCCTGTATCCTGGACATGGATCCTGCCAAGGCACAAGAGTGGGATCTGATCAGGGATTCAGCTTGCTGGGAACAAGAGTGGGGCCTGGGGTTCACAGCCAGAATCACCAGCTGTGTTTTGGAGTGACAGATCCAGGGTCTCTCATTGTTTGGAAACAGTGTTGCAATGTTAAAAGTTGCTTCCATCAACAACTGCAATAAGCTATTTCAAAAACTGTGAAGAAATACAAAATTGACTAATTCAGGAGCGCTGAAGCATCTTTGTACCTAAATTAGCAACTCAGCTTTGCCTTTCTATGATTATAAAGGAATTAAGAATGTCAAAGCACGTCTCTATTTCTGAGTGCAGATTAGAAAAAGAATAGCTTGAGAGGCCAGAGACCTCTAGACCCTCTTATACCTGTCACAGCATGGCAGGAACACAGAGACACAGCGGCCACAACCAAGAGGCTGAACTTAAGGGGTGCCCTGGAGGCAGGACTTGGGTAGGTAACAGGGCACACTTGTGCTGTCTGCTGGGAATGTCCTAGCCCCAGGCCAGAGATGTGCTCAGCTAGACACACGCAGAGCAGCCCTCCAAAGCCCTCTGCAGAGGAAGCTGATATAAGGTGGGTGGGTGGTGGTGGCGGGGCATTGATACCCAGAAGACAAATGAAGTTCAGCTGATCTATTATCACCATTCTTTCATTGATTCATCCATCCATTCATGCCAGAGCTGGAAAGTGCCCTGAAGGACACAGAGAAGAGGGATCTGTCCTTGCCCTCAGGAGCCCATGGCACGTTGTGGGGAGAGGCAGAAACAGACACGGGCACGCGCTTCTATCACACAGGCCACCTGAGAGGGAAAAGGCAAGAAAGCACAGACAAAGGGGGCTGGGGGCCAGAGAAGGAGCTGCTGAACAGCACCCGGGATGAAGTTTCCAGAACGCTTCGAGGAAGAGCATTTGACCTGAGTACCTGAAGGAAAGGTGGATTTCCACAGGCAGGGTATTCAGGTAGAGGAGACAACCCAGGAAAGGCTTGGGAGCACATGGACTCAGTGACCAATTACCTGAGCATGGGGACAACAGAAGTTCACCTGAGCTCCCTGGACTGGAACTCTTATTGGAAGAAGGATCAGCAAAGTCACTTCCTCTATCCAGAGCTGCACGCAGGGGTGTATCTGCCCGGACAGCTCCTCTTACAGGTTGGGTAGGCACCTAAATTCAACGCTTCTAAAATGGGACTCTGCCACTCCATCCAGCCTCGCATCTTCTCTCATATTTCCCACCACTATCCACCAAACCCACCAAGCAAGGAGCTTCCGAGGCACCCCCAAATCCCTTGGCCAGCTAGCCCGCTACATGTGATGGGCTCTGATCAATGTTGGTTGAATGAGTGAGGAGGGGCAGAAGGTGGGTGCAGGATCTTGTCATGTCTGAAAGACACTGAGGGCCGGGGCTGCTGTGCCAGGCCACCGCAGAGCCTGTGTGCATGGGGTTGGTAATGTCCCTATTAATTCAACATTGTTCTCTGTGGCATCTCCAACACACCAAAAGCTGGGCCAGATCTTGAGGAGCCTGCAGGGAAGTAGGATGCCGGTTTCCAAATGCTGGGACCGTGGCATGACATGAGTATCAGTCCTAAGGAGGTAGCGGGGGTACAAGCTGCCATGTACAGCAGGAGCCGGTGTTTAACAGGCAGGAGAGGGGGGCCAACTCTCCCCCCACAACCTACTCCCTCTCCACCCCAGAAATTCATGCAGTGACACTTGACCACCTCAAGGACCGGCCTCAGCTAACCTTCCCTACAGATGGGTAGGCAGCCCCATACCCTGTCCTCTATGGAACCCTCTGGTTTCAGAACCCAAGAGGAGCGTTGGGAAAGAAGTACAGGGTCTTGGCAGAGCCAGCTCGGATGGAATAAAGGAGAAAAGGAGGTCTCACGGAATCCACTCACACTGGGGCTGTCGGCTGCCTGGCCAGAGACCCGGGCCTTGTTTCAAGCCCCTGCCAATGGTATGAAGTTACTGGCTTGGTAGGGAGCCACTTGTTAAATATTTAGGGGTGGTGTCACTGGAAATCAGGCTGGTGAGAGTACTCACACCATGGAAATTAGCAAAGGCTACATGTCAAGGCATTTTTCCCTCCCAGAGAGCCAGTTTACAGCACACCGCTGCCTATGTCTGGAGGCATGCAGCGCCCAGGTTCCCATGGGGTGTACAGGGAGGGGGTGTGCCATCTTAGGAGAGAGAGAAGGTAATAATCCATAGCACTGGAGGACACTTTTAACTCCATACAGAGCTGCCGTGACCTTATCTCATGTGACTCTGACAGTTCTGTGAGTTAATAAAGTCACTGTTCTCACTTTAAAAACAGATAAACTGAGTGCTGCCTGTGGTCACACAGTGAGTAAGATAGAGACAGAACTGCAGGCCCTGAGTCTCCCAGGAGCACCACAAGTGGGGCTTTCTTTCACAGGGCCCAGATTCAGAGGTGAGGCCCTACATTTTCACTGCTCTTATCCTCAGAAGGCAGGAAAACCCCAAGTATCAAACCCCCTCTGTGGGCCAGGCACTGTGTAGCCCCTTCCACACAACAGCCCTGGCTTTTGGTCCTCACAGGAGCGCCATGAAGTACTTCACGAGACCTGCTTTTCAGAGGAGACTCGAGCAAAGAAACTCACCCAGTCGCCCAGCTAGCTGGTCAGTGACAGAGTTCTAGAGCAGAAGGAGATAATGAGGAAGAGACGCACAGAGAGGTCCCCGCCTCTCGGCCAGGGTGATGGCCATGGTCTCTGGATCAAGGCCTTAATGTTTGGCCCCAAGCTGCCCACCCCCCCATACAGAACCAAAGATCCTGAGTGTTTGGGGGCATGTCCCTGGGTGATAGGGGCTGCCATCAGGAGGAAGCTACCTGAAGGGTGGCAGGCAGGAAAACTGTGGCTTTATTAACTAATATGTCTTATTGCCAAATGTTGCCCAATTCACAAAGAACCCACAGAGACAAAGAGCTTCTATCTCCTTGAACAGCCCTCTTCCTCCTCCACCTCCTCCTCACCTACCCTTCCTGACAACCAGGACCTCTTCCCTCTGGACCCTCCCCTCCCAGGGCCAGACTGCCGCCCGGGACTGGGTGCCCTGCAGACCGGCTGCTGGCCAGGGCAGCACTCTGCCTGGTAGTCCAAGGGGCAGTGTAAACATCCCAGGTTTCCTCAGTGGTGAGATTCCAATTCTCCTGGCCAGGAGAGCACTCCCTGTCCCTAGCAAACATCCCAACTCCGTGAACACCTAAGTGCCACATCCGGACAGCAGGCCAGGCCCAGGAAGTCTTCCTGGAAGATGCTGGCCAAAGGCAGCCTGGAGGGTGGTGGCAGCAGGCCCAGGGCCAGCCATGCAAATTTCTTCCCAGAAGGAATGAGGCGCCTGCCCTTGGCAGGAAGCACCTGAGCCTGGGGCCCCTAGGGCTTCCCCAGGGCTGCATTTTGATGGGGAGAGAATCTGCTCCATAGCCTTCAGCATTTGCAGCCCAGCTGGCCGGAGGCCTCCAGTTCTGCTGCCTGCACCCTGCAGGGAAAGTCAGGAAGCCTTCACTGAGAAGGGGTTGGAGACTGGCATTTGGAGGAGTGAGGAGCCTCCTCCTTCCTGTTTCCCTGGACAAAGCTGGTGCCCTCCTCCACAGCTCACCCAAGCCAGGAGTGCCCGGCCCCCTGGCTGCTCCTCCAGGCAGACTTCCCTGACTCACCCCC